TTTTCAGAGAATTATTGAAAAATCATTACAGAATCAATAGAGCCCCGTCCTTACACCAGAATTCCTGACCCAGGGGTCATGAATTTCACAATGTTGTAAGAGGAACCTTACACACAAAATCGTACACTTAATTTACCTACTAAATACTAAGAAGCAAAAAAAAATTTGAAATAATTTATGATCTATAGAGCCCCGCCCTAAACCAAGAACCCCAGACCCTGAGGCTATTAATTTTACAATTCTGGAAGAGGATTCTTTGCAATTATAGTAGAGTTTTCATTGCTTCTTACAATCATGCCAACAGTTTGACTACTTGATGTCCAGGAGTAAAGAAGATGATTTTTAAAGATTGCACTACTTTTGATGGTTTAGCCCCATTCTTTAAGCCCCCCCCCCCCCAGGGAGGGGGCAGGGCCCATGAAATTAATAATTTTTGTTTCTCTTTACCCATGTATGCTACGATGGTTGTCCCAAAATGTCGTAGACATGGAAAACAAGTCAGGTTTTTCTTTGCTAAATTAACTTTCTTTTCTTTTCATAGTAAAAAGCTACATTTATTGATCATCAATTTCAAGTTTCATGAGTATAACATATTTAATTAGAAAATAATGTAAAAATGAAGAAAGCATAGGAGCGGAAGTCAAGTGTAAATGCACAGAATCAAGCGTAATTTACGTCTCTTATAACCTCATGATCATTTTAAAGTACTGGTCCGTGTGCTCAACGCTCGTCTCTTGAGCATCTCATTGATTTTTAAAACAGGTAAAACACTCTTAACAGAGGGACTCATTCAAATTCACCACTTTCTCTATTTTTTGATCAGATTCAAACTTCAGTCCTCGAAAGGTTGTATTACATTGTAGGAAGCAGAGAATACACAAAGTTAGACATCGATCGTGACCCATAACGTTCCTCACCGTCTGAATTTAACACAAAGTACTCCGCTTCTTACGCCTATTTATTTTCGGTTCGGAGGTGAAACCGTCCTTGAATTTCATGCCATTTATAAACAACTTCTCCACTAACGTTCTACTGTGTTATGTCAAGTCTTTATCTTTTTCCGTCTCTGAAGTGGACAAACCACATTAAATGCAATATTTATTACATCCCCGCGAACGCGTTTAACGACTTTATTTGCAGCATGCTAAATTTCGACAACACTTTAAAATTTATGACACTAATCCTCTATCTTTGATGTCATTTATGTAAAAATTTGACATATATATATATTACGATTTGTATCTGGTTTAACTGATATAAAATTGTGTTTTATGTCTTACTTATTATCAGAGAATAAATACAACTGAAATAGTTACATACGTAAATTAATCTGGATTTTATTCGTGCGCCGACAAACCATATTGGCCTTTTTATAAATCGTCATAATATTATTTCACTGAAAGATATTTATATAAGAATTCACTGTTTTAAGGAACATTGAGTAAATGGTAGCTATGCAAAATTTGGTTAGTATTGGTTGAATGTTTACAAAGTTATAAATAATGTCTACGACGTTTTGGGACAACCCTCGCATATATGCCAAAATTGGGTGAAATTGGGTGAAATTGGTTGAGCGGTTCCAGAGAAAAAGCTGAAAATGTTCAAAGGTTAAAGGTAGAACCAATGTCAGAAAAGTCTTTGTCACAAGATTGTCAAACTTTTCAAAATGAGAAATTCACACTCGCTTGTCAATCAGTTAAAAATATATGGTATGTTTCCTTGTTATTAAATGTAGTGCAGCCTGTGCTACTTGGAATGATAATTTTTACACTGCGACAACATATTTTCAGCCATATTTAGGGGTACTGGTCATAAAGTGAATATAGAAAATCACAAAAATACTTCTTCAAACGTCGTCGTTTATAGACTTCATTAACTGAACCGTATTAAGCAATATTATTCAAGAATAAATTCTTTTTATTCAATTAACATAAAAGATTAAGTTCACACATCAACGAATATAGGCAAATGTGCTCAATATTTTTACATTAATTTACCACCTAAATTTGTAAATATTGATCAAAAGTATTTGTCAGAATGTTTTCAATCTTTGATATGATGAAGAACATACCCAAATAATAACAAAAAGTTACATTCAGATTTTACAATGTGAATATTCATCAAAAAATGTATTTTTTTTAAAGATAAACTTTAGGGAAACATTATCATTACACACCAACCATTTTGAATAATTAACAAATAATTATGAAAGGGAATGCACGTCATTTCATGATAGACATTACAAAATTTACACACAATTTTTAACAGATCTTTGACTCAGACACAATTCATCAAGATATTGTACTATTAAGATGTCTTAGGATTTTTGATTTCCTTCAAAATAAGTGCCTATCATTCAAATTATCACAGTTGTGTAACTTCATTACATGATATGGTCTTGGAAAAAGTACGGGAAAAAGTAAAATTAAATTAAATATGACGTCATAATTGATCTAACACCAAAAAGACGGTATGAACTCATTTACTCGATATGACGTAGGTTCTACGTTAACGAACGATTGGCGTCCGACCACGCACTACGCACTTACAGATGAAAACATATAGCAATAGGAAAACCTGAGTTACTCAGGTAACGTAAAATGAATGTGACAACGAATATTCCAAGTTTAGATGCGGTTTTAATTCTTCTTATCTTTTAACATAAAAATCTAGCAAGTCTCAAGTTTGATAAAACGCTTTAGTATTACTCTATGATAAAGGATGAAAAAGTATAATTGTTTGTAATTTTAAGGTGTTTCGTCAGTAAGACAATCAATTGGAGAACTTTAATTGTATTACTGTGAGTATTCAAATAAATTTTTGTCTACTAATTTTCCAAATTAAAAGAAATCGCTGTTTGTACTTATCTTAAATTGACATCGACATTAAGGAGTATGTATTCGTTATTGGTATAGAATAGTAGGATCCATACTGTTTCTACTTTAAAGTAACATTTGTCAGGGGTTTTATTTTGCAACATAAATACTTCAAGAACTATTTGGTTAGGATCCACCTTCCTTATTATGGTTAGACTTCCCTCTCTTAGTTAGGAGTCGAATTTTTAATTTTACGCTTTGTTGAATTTGACATGCATGTAAAATATCACGAGGTTACTATAACAAATTCCTCGTTCTAGAAACTTTATGAATCACTTATGTTCAGTTGCATAATTGTGTGGTAGTCTGTGGAAAAACAAAATCTTAAAGGAATAACTCTTAAACAGAAGTTAATTTTAAATGAGTTTTTTAAATTTATTTATCTAGCATGACAAAAATTGAGGAAAGGCGAATTTTGTTGATATTTCATGGGAAAACATGAATACACGAAAAACCTATCCTATTCCCCACAATTTGATCTAGTACGTCCTCTTGAAAAGTCCAATTAGAGGGGAAAAAAGAAATAACAACTTGAGATTGTTTATGGAAGATAACAATTAATTCTTTTCAATGAGGAAGATGGACACCATTATATTATTTTTTTGACAGGAAATATACTGAAATGACAGCAAAGGTACGGTTATTTCCAAACATCAGAGGATTATATACCCGGCATGTACATTTTAATTATATACCACATATACTAAAACGTCAAGTTCCTAATAATTATAAAATGATATTGAAAAGATTAGAATTAACGTGGAGTGTGGAGTCCATCTCGTATCTTGCCAATAAAACGTTGTAGGTACTGTAGATTTTTTAATTGAGTGAGGAAGGATTTTTAATCTGAAATTCCGACGATTTAGAAGGTTACAAGACAAAAAGGATAAGAACCCTGCTTTTGGGTCTCTTAAAATGATACTAGAGTTCTTATTTAAAAACAAACCTGTCATCCATGTTTCAAATGAGTAATGAAAGCATACACAGATCACAGGAAGGTCACAAAATTGAACAATTTCCGAATTTTCAAATTTTAATTTAAATTATCATTAATTTAAAGGTACATTCCTGGAAAACACAGAGCACAAGCTTGTCTATCTACCAAATTTACATATTTCATGTACTAGTATCACATACATTTTTTTATATGAAAATCTCATATAGGCAAGCTTGTGCTTTTTTCCACAGCGAAAAGTATCTAAAATTTGAAAAATTTTCATCACTTTGTAAAATTGTCTACTACTTTTTACCCTTCTGTGGGCCCCGTGTATGCTTTGAATCAAAAGCATAGCTAGTTTTTATGTAAGCTTTATTTAAAGTTATGAAATGTAAACTATCACTATTTTAACTCTATTTTGATTTTTTTTACATTGCAAAAAAAAAAAGAAGCCTTATTCGGAGGTTACCATACCTTTCCGTTTGACATCAAGCTTCAGTATGAAATATATGGAGATAACGAACAGTATACAAGCTCAAACGTCCATTTAAACAATACAAATCCGGAGCAAAGCAAACATCAGAGATGGGATCAGGTGCAATGGAGTAGTGAGCTTTCCCGCCCTGTGCTCCTTGTCATGATCGGGAAATAATGGAAAAACCTGTAGACAATTCAGTGGCCTAGCAATCAGTATGTCAGTCAGCATTTGACTTAATGATAGATTAGACTGTATTTGCTGTCAAGGTCATTGTATCGACCATAGAACGTACGAAATGATGACTTTAAATGAGACTGTTGATCAAGTATACTATAAATCAAATATTTTGTGATAAAGGTATTTGAGATGTCAAAAAGAGGTTTTATTGATCTACATATATAAATCTTTTGGCATGAAATTGAAGTATATTTATTTACATAGTACAGATATTCATGATCACAAGATACACAAACCAATTTTTTCTCTGGTGACATTTTGGTAGCTTTCACGATATATAAATATGCTATGGAAGGTGACATATTTTTAAAGTATACATTACGGAGTACATTCTGTAGCTTATGATCAATAAGCGATCGTAAAATGACATCATTTTGCACAATATGTAATATTCGAGATCTGTTCAGAATAGCATAACTTTGTTTGATAAAACAATCAATCATTTTAGCAGATTACCCAGACCCTCCCGATCATGGATACGGAGGAATTCAGCGCCCAGTGTAAAATAAGACAGTGTTTTCAATGTCATGGGGACACAGAATTCTACTGTAACACGTGTAAACATGATCTGTGTCTAAAGTGTAAAGGGAGACACGTTACTGATCTGGATACAATAAACCATGATGTTGTGATTTACCTTGAAAAATATGAATACAGCCAAAAACAAGAGACTTGTGTGAAACATCACAGAAGAATATATAAAAAGTACTGTCACTTATGTAAACTTCCTGTCTGTTCCAAATGTACAGAACATGAAAAACATCAAATACAGGACATTAGAACAGCATATAAAACAAACCGACAACTACAAAGAAAATTTTTTCACAAAATCAGAAGTGAAACTCTCTATAACAGCTATTTTCTCCTGGCAGGAATCAAAACCGAAATAAAAACTTGTCACCTTAAAATTATAAGCTGTCAATCAGAAATGTTTAAAATGGGGCAAAAACTGAAAAATCTAATCAACACAGTTGTATTCAAGGTTAAAATCAGATATACACGTTATATAATACGAAGACTAAAACAACAGAAGGAAAGTATGAATAGACACCTCGTCAGCATTGAAAGCTATGAACATAGATCTGATCCATCAGCAAACAGACCTGTTAGATACCTCTTATTGCTTAAGAAAACTTATGTTCCAAAAATGAAGGACACTCCAAATCTTACACAACATTTTCTGCTCTCCCTGACTGAGGAAATGAACATGGAGAATGTAATTAAGCTACTAAGTGAAATGCAAATCTCACAAACAGGAAAAAGAGAAGTAAGAAATGAATGTCTGCTGAAACTGATGTCTACGCCAGTGTTGCACAAATCTGTCACAGTGACAGGTGTAGGTGGTGTAAATCACATTTCCTGTGTGACATCAGATCAAGTCTGGGTCAGTGATCACTGGGATAGCAATCTCATCTTGACAAACACAGCAGGTGAAACACTACATCATCTGACCGATGTAAGTAGCGGTTGGGGAGTACACACAGTGAATATGACAGGTAATCTTATTTACATAGACAAGGATTTTAACATAAACAAATTATCTAAAGATAACAGAACTATGTCTACACTTATAAAGAAAACAGATCCATGTAGACTACGTTGCATCTACTGTTCCCCCTCCAATGGAGATCTACTGGTCGGGATGTACAATATTGATATAAATATGGGCATGATAACACGGTATAACGACACAGGACAACTCATACAGACAATTCCTACAAGCAACACAGATCAGGGACTGTATAATGTACCAAGCTACATTGCAGAGAATCGTAATGGAGATGTTATTGTATCTGACTCTGTCCGCCGCGCTGTAGTGGTGACAGAGCGTCAAGGAAGACATCGCTTCTCCTACAGAGGACCTCCATCAGGATCAGGAATATTACCACTAGGAATCTGTACTGACGCGCTGTCACACATCCTTGTGTGTGATGGTATCACTCACACAGTACAGATGATTGATAAAGACGGACACTTACTGTCAGTTATACAGACACAACAACAAGGGATAAACTTTCCATGGGGCTTGAGCTATGACGACAAGTGTCACCTTCTCTGGATAGGATCATTGAACAACAACAGAGTGTGTGTATACAGATACATAAAGAGGCGTGATTGCCCTACAAGTAATAGTATTAGTTAATTATATAGGTGTATACATACATACAGTGCTGTTAATACCAAATTTTACTGATAAAGTCTGATAATTACTGGTATAGTCCTGTTGTTGCTGATTTATACTGATTTTTTTTTTAAACTGTTGTTAATGTTGCTGATAAATGCATACAATTACATGTACTGTTGTTTTGCTGCTCATTCTGGTAATTGCTGATTAAAACTTTGAAAATGCTGTCGATGCTGAGAATCACTGAGATTTACTGTGGTCATTCTCGGGCACAGAAGGTGTGAAACAATAATTAATGTTTGCCAATGAAATTGTTTTAGCAAACATATTTTAAAAGAAATATTTCTTAACACAATGTGCACATTTGTTTAAAACAATAGAAATCAATAATGATAATAATTATTATAAGAAAAACCGTGCACAGTTTTCATCACGAACACATTGTTAAATTACAGCATTCCCTTGGTTGCACGAACGCTAGTTAAATTTAACTACTCGTTAACTTTGCGTTGATGCTACGTTAAAATTTACTTCGAGTTAAACCAATTGCATGAAAGTTAACTGACAGTTAAAGCTTGATTAATTTTGTGATTTAACTAAGAGATTTAACTGAGTTAATCTAGGTACATTAAATATTTGATTAAACATAAAATCAAAATTGCGAATTTGTTTTCATTTGTATCCTTGTTTGCGGGGAAGGAAGAACTTGTAGAGAAAATAGAAATATGTTACAACCTGAAATAGATCACTACATGAACATGAAATATAGATAACGGACAGCATTCAAGCTCAAAAGTTCATTAAACAATACAAAATAGGAGCAGACAAACACGGACCTCCAAACATCAGAGGTGGGATCAGGTGCCATGGAGATGTGAGCATCCCCTGCCGACCGGTCACACCCGCCGTGTGCTCCTTGTCATGATCGGGAAATAACGGGAAAATCCATCGACAATTCAGTGTGTAAATAATGGCCTAACAATTCGTATGAAAAATGTCAGTCAGCATTTGACTCAATGATAAATTGTATTTGCTGACAAGGTCATTGTATCGACCATAGAACTTACGAAATAATGACTTTAAACGAAACAGCTGATATTCTTGTTTCATCAACTTGTTTGTCAATAATTTACCTCGTTTTAGAAATTGTCCATACGTAGAGCATGCTATTGCATATCAACTCAACTGAGAGATATATACCCCGTATGCAGGAGATTAAGGTATATTGCTGCATAAGTAAGGGAAGTTGAGGATTGAAAAGTTAAAGTCATCACGTTTATCATAAAACTTGGTTGTTAGATTACCATTAACGTCTTTTTCAAGTAAAATATCCAAATATGAAACAGATGTGTCAGACTCTGTGGTATCTTTTATCTCAAGCTCATCAGGATATATCGTATCGACATAAGAATGGAATTAGCCATTGTTAATTGACAATACGTCGTCGATATATCTAAATGTTGAGTTCAAGGACACAGCAAGTGTTTTCTTCTTTTCACGTACAATGTACAAGATTTTGGACAGATTTTGCTTCATATGAATACAAAAAAGGTCTATTAATAACGGGGCGCAATTGGTATCCATGGGATTTCCAATAGATTGTTGGAAGACCTGGTCTCCAAAAAACACATACTAGATATTGTCAATCAGAAACTCAAGCATCTTTTTAATGTCAACAACTTCAGAGAACTTGTGCGTACAATCAGAATGTTTTTTAACAAAATAATTTTGCAAATGACCAATGACAAGGTCAGTAAATTTACGAGTTTCATTTTGTTTTGATAAAGCAGCTGTCCATGATATCAAAAAGCCTGGATTTTAATTTAATCTTTTACTTTAATTGGGGAATGGTTGTGTATAAAGTTGAAGAGTCGTAAGTTTTTAAGCTGTTGATTTTGGTAAAATCTTGTGATTTCAAATTTTCCAAAAACATACTTTGTAATTGCATTTTATATAAATTGCATATACTAGTATAATGACTATCTTTCAGTGTAAAAGAAATTGCAAAACACCGCATTTGAAGTAACTATCTTAAATGATACATTTTGTCAATCTTAAGATTAATATTACAAAAAGTATATAAAAAACAAAACCTTAGCACTTAGAATTGACGTCATTTTTATTATAAAATCAGTGAATTTTTTCATATTTTTTTCAATGTAGGTAAGGTAAATGCGCGTGAAGAACGATTTTAACAGAGAGATAGCTAAAAGCCATGAATTAAATTTAAGTTAGCTTATTAAGTTGTAATTGACTTTCGAATAACAACAATTTAACTGACAGTTACGAAACTTTTCGTTTAAAATTTAAGGGCTACTTAAGACAATAACTTGAAGTTAATTTACCTATGCTTTGTGCAACTGGATGCTGCAGTTGTTTAGAGATTTTTTTTATCAATTAACCAAAATTACAATCTATTTTGTAGACATATCTTAGAATCCCATATTATTTTTATTTATTTTTCAGGACCGTAGCAACGGTTTCAAAAGTGGGGGGAGGGGGGGGGGCAAAGTTATTTAGTTATAGGTGTTATTTTGAGTTAACCAATGTCCTTAGCGTTACTATATAGATTTAAAATCAAACTACAGATTAACATTATACAAATACTGCATATAGCCGAGGTTGACAATGGTTTTCGAGGGGTGAAAATTTTCAATGTTACACTCAACTACATGCAGTATTCATAATATTATACTGAATGTTTTATACAAATACATATTACAGTGAACCTTGCGCGCATAAATTCTGCGCAGTCAATATTATTATTTTTTTTTTTTGGAATAACCTGACTTCAAGCAATTTTGACTATTGTAATGCTGGAGGGCGTGGCTTCATTATTCAGCGGGTAATAGTGTTTTTTAACAAATTCAGATTCAACTAATTTACATGAAAGTATAATATTATATAAAATGTGATTAAAAATCATTTCAAAATTAATATTTCCTCTATTGAGATTAAGCATTGTCAGGTGTATTAGGTTCATGCTGCAACAATTGCCGCAGTAAATCTCAGCAATTCTCAGCATCGACTGCATTTTCAATGGTAATTATAAGCAATTATCAGAGCGAATAGGAAATTAACAATAATTGTAATTATAATAATATAGGGTTATTGAACTTATATTGGTGAATATTGGCACGAGTTGGCTGTACAAATGCACGAGCTTGCGAGTGCATTTGTACAGTCAACGAGTGCCAAAATATTTACCAATATTAGTTCAATAACTCCTTTATTATATAGCTAAAATATCTCCCATTGATTTATATTTAATATTTCAATTAAATAAAACAAATTATTAAGAATTTTCAGTATCGGTATGTACTGACCTTACCGAGCGTTATTATTTCTTCTTTGAGGTTTAATTGAGGCTAATACGTATACAAAATTATTAATTACTAATTTTAATTTTGTGTGAAAATAAACACATCTTACCTATCTGCCGCTTTCTAGCATAAATTTGCCTTTGAGATTGACCAGACGATTTTTTTTTTGTTTACAACGGGGCGCTCAATATTGAACGCTCGTATTCGGAGTGTTTCTGGCATACTCATAGACGTAATACAAACTCACCATTCAATAAAACACCAAGATATTGATCGCTAAAAGTCTCTAGACTTTTAGAATTTTTTTATAATTATGGACTATTTATTAGCTATAATATTGTCAGTATTTATCAGCAACAACTAAAATTATCAGTAACCACAATAAAAAAATCAACAACTGTCAGCATGTATCAGCTGCAACGACACACTATGAGGAAATATCAAAGTAATTTTGGGGATTGTCAGCACTTTTTTCGTCTACTAGAGTATCTGACAAGTCATTTAATTAACTTATCAGATACATGTAGGTATACATGTAGAAAAATGGATATATGTAATAAGTTAGTTAGATACATATATACACAATTCCATGTTGACATGAGTACAGTAATTATTTGTACTTATAGTGATAAATTGTCTAAATTTTCACAGAAATGCAGAATCTGCTATGTAGAGATTGAGTGACATACATGTCATTAACTTACCAGCGTACTGCTCATATCTGTAGCATCTATATCGGACAATAACAAATATCTGACAACACTTAATGAATAGATTTTAAAAAAAGTCTTTATCAGGACTGGAAGAAGTCTAAATCCTAGGAGAAAGGCAACAAAGATTAATTCGCGTTTAATCAAGTCCCATTTTTTTTGCGATATTTTAGTCATGTGCTTTTTTTTGTGTACATACAGTTTTATGTTCATGTTTGTTCTATATTAATTAGGGCAAATTTAAGACATGCACTTCATTTTGTATTGTATGTACATTTTTGGTTGTTTTTAATTTTTCCTTGTGACAGGTGTAACAAATATTTAATATTAGACACTAGCGCTATATTCAAGTATACGGTGTTTTTACAACACATTCCAAAATCAAAATAGAAAATCTTTTTTTCTGTTTTAGGCATTTTGCCCTTAGGTATTGACAAAATCTAACAAAAAACACAGTTTTATAAGATATTTATTGATAAGATTGTGAAAAATTAGCATTTTTCTAATGGAAACACGATATAGTGTCACAAATAAACTGAAATGTAAATATTTGGAGGAAATATTAACAATTTAGCAAGACTTTACGGGGTAAATTTCCCCCGAAAGAAAATCACTGATTCACATCTTAAAGACAGCAAAAACCTACAGAGTATATTTTCTCTCAAAAATGACAATGATACAGTTAACGTACAGCAATTCAAAGCAAATGCAACCATCTTTTAGATAGCAAGACTTTACAGGGTAAATTTCCTCCAAAGAATATCACTGATACAGTCTTCACTACTCTTATAAAAAGGGAACATTACACTTTGAAAATCGCAGAACTCTACAGGGTAAATTTCCTCTCAAAAATGACATTGATGCAGTTTATATACAGTGTTTGAAAGCAAAAGCAACCATCGTGATGATAGCAAGACATTACGGTGTAAATCCCCCCCCCCCCCCGAAAGAAAATCACTAATACAGTATTCATGATTCGCAAACA